CTCGGGGAATGTTGATTTACTTATTAATAACTTAACATATTAACAAATTTTCATCTGTTTTACTAAAATATAATCAACATATAGCAAATATCATACTGATAGACATATAAAAAAGTATTAGCCAAAGATTACGCTGTCTATTTTCGGTATATACAACGTTCTGATGTTGTAAGTTATCTTAAAAGGATCTCTTCGAAATTGAACCCCTCAATTTTCGATTGGAATCTAATTATGGTTAATCATATTTCTTTAGGTACAAGAACGATATTAAAAAAAAGCTGACCTTCGTAACGATAGATAGATAATCTGGCCTAAAATTGTTACAGCGTGACCACACTAAACCAAATGAAATAATTCAAGTTACTACAAGATTTGTGAAATTAACTGAATAATTGTTTGCATACAATACAAATAAATAAGATATTTGTTAGTACTAAAAGACTTTCAGACTTGCATTGTCTTTAATTATCTTATCTTATCTTATCTACATAATGTTTTGGTCATATGCATCACTGATCGTTATCAAGTGTGGACTATAGGTACTAAATCTGAAAATTACTAATACTAGGACAAGGTGACCTGTGACGGGGTTGGATGCAGTCAAGCGTGAGTTTGTCCACTTAGGACGTCAGCATTGGCAATAAGTGGTTTTATAATAATTGTCGAAATTTCCATATTGTTATTTTTTTATATAAAAACAAGATTTTTCAATTTACGCTTCTTTCCAGTGCGGTTCTTGTTTCCACCACTTTGTGTTGTGCTATTGGGTACCTGGTAGATGCAGTCTTGTAGAATGTAGAATGTTTAGGAAGGGATTAATCACCGCGATCTTAGTTCTATTGTGTGTTCCCCTTTCTTGATTTATAACGAGTTATAACTATAACCATACAGTCTCAGAGCTTTGACAAAAGCCAGTATCTGAGACGCTTCCACAGAGGCCAGCTCTCCATCTTCGACATCAGCCATATCAAACTTTATGGCACGGACGGTTGTCGTCTCGGCGCACTCAGTGATTAGGTGTTGTGGTGTTTCCCCATTTTCCCCACAGAATGACCAAACATCACTTAATACTGAAATAAATAATATTAAAAGATGCACTCTCTTCTTTAGCCAAGCAATATAACATTAAAACTGATTTTAAGTCTGACGTATCAACAGTAGCGGATACATGGGACCAAGCCCCCCCCCCCTAAAATCTATAAATTGGTTAAATATTAGGCTTTTAGGTTAAAAATGGCGCTCTAAAAACCATATTCTACCCTATATCATATTCTACAACCTCACGCTTGACTACACCAAATTCTGTTACAGGAGAATACCCTGACATTTTCAGATTTGATAACGGTCAGTGATACATCGAAGCGTTCTATACGTTGAAATAAATAAAAGCAATGGAAGTTCGAAATTCATTTAGTATCAATAATAAACTGCCACTTAATATTAATAATAAGTCTACCACATAGGAAAAAGAAAGGGTATTTTATGTAAAGAAACGATAATACAAAAGATCGAATTTCTCATAATGGTGTACTTAGAAATATTCTTAACTAAAAAAACTACTGAATTATTTAAGCAAAATCTTCATTGACTAGTTTAAGAGCGCTTTAGGAAGTTTTAATATATACACCAGATTTATTTTGAAAAAATAACTAGGTATATACCTATATTCGGTCCCAATATAAAACAAAATCTTGAAAAATAACTGCAACAACATTGCACAACTAAAGCAATGTTGAAATTAAACTACTAAATACTTTATGATTTGCTTAATAAAATGTATGTAAGTTCATCGTACAATATTATCGCCATATTTTCTAATTTATTTTTCTCTGCCATTATAATATCTAGAGAAAATAATAAAAATTTAAACTTGACTTTACAATTAGGCTTCTTCAATTAATTATACCATATACCATTATTTAGACCCATTTAAGCCCCAATTTACATTACCTTCTTTATTAGGCTTTCCCCCATTACACATAAATAAACGCTATAATAATATTTCACCGTGTTAACAAATATTTTAATTAGGAAACACTAATTTACAACTATCAAAAAAGGTGAATAAAAATCAAAAAGTGTATATGAAAAACCTAATCACGTATTCTGACTATAAAGATATATAAAAGTGAAGTGAAGGGTGCACTTGATAAATGTAATCACTTATTCTGACATTTTCTAAAAAGTGTAGACATCTAAATTTGATAGGTATATTGAAAGTAGCAGTAAGTAAAGTAACAGCCAAGGTAAAGGTTTTTCTCTAAATATATACATACTATATAATATACATAATACATAACTACCCTAATTTACCAAAAAATAAACATTATATCATTGAGACACCAAAATTGCCTAGTTTATAAAAACTTTCTAGAAAAGTTAGGAAGACTCGTCCTGTATAATTTTGTCTTGTTAGAAAAGACAGACGACAAAAGAAAAAAATAAGAAGACAGGAATGAGACTGGTTCAAAATGGATATTGAAAAGAAAAAGAAAAAGCTTTTTATAACGATGGACGCGTGCCATTATAGTAGCACTAAGTAATTAGGCAGTGGCTTTTTTTTGAAGAGCCTTCAATTTTGAAAAATAGGGACCGAAATAAGTATTTTTATAGTCATTTTGGAGCAACCTGCCAATTTTTATATCACTAATAGTTAAAATTAGAGTATAATAGAATTAAATATGACTTAATTAGCTATAGAGTGATACACATTTTGTCATCTGATCTTTATTCCTCAGCACTCAATAGCTTACGACTTACAGCAATTATTATAGAGTTGGTATACAGATTGTTAACTGGACGGTTACTTATTGGGGAACAGAATGGCAACACTGCCTACATTCCAAATGAGTACTTACTAAGCTAAGCTGCCGACTCGTCCCGTCGCGTCGTCTCTCGACGAGCGGGCCGAGGTTGCCATATTTCAACCATAAAGCTCTTGCCGCAAGTAATAAACAAATTAAAAACCTGTATAGTTTAAATTTTAACGGCTACAGAGTGGTTTGTCAGACACCTGGAACTAACATTCCTCTATATTTCGTAAATGCCTAGAATTGTAGTAATGCGGATGCATATAGGGGAAAGTGTCCTAAGATGGCATAGCTTGTAAAATGACTTATTGCTCATTATTTTGGTCATTAACTACTGGTGCAAAAGTCACGTTTGTGCTCGATTTGGTTTTCTGTTATTCCAGGCGGCAGTTAACGTCAAAAAATTGTTTTCACTCAATAACTAAAGAATCCACGGACAAATAACACCTGAGGGTGCATCCACATCATCCTAGAAAAAGCAGAACGGCGCAGCGCCGGCGCCGGCGTATCAGCGTAACGACCTTGAATCGATTTCCGGCAATTCTATTGGCTAAAATTTTTCGAAAATTCATCTGTCAAAAATTTCAGTCAATAGAATTGCTAGAAATCGATACAAGATCATTACGCCGATACGCCGCCGTTCCGCTTTTTCTAGGATGGTATGGACACGGCATATAAATCAACCGGCATGCTAAGACTGCGTAGATCCCATTGTTTAAAATTTTTATAAAATTTGACTTTGACGACGCCATTATGGGTGCCGAGTCAGGGCCGGATTAAAACGTATCAAAAAAATTCCCAGAAAATAAACTATTGATAGACAGGGTCGTATTAAAAAAATACTGTAATTAACTGCAACTGAATTTTATTTACACAATACTTTTGTCTAAACAATTCCACAACTTCCACAAAAAAACGCTGAATGGCGTCATTGCACATAGACGCGTCTCAGTAGGCTAACGGCAGCAATGGTGCCCAACGAGTAAGAGAGGTGGCCTGCTGGGTAATAAAGCTCATACTGCATCATCATCGAGCTCGCGGCATGCGATCCGAACTCGAGAAGCTGAGTGGAACAATATCTCAACCAAACCGGCGACATGGAAGGGTGTGAAAAGGAACATTTTACCCCAGGAGGTAGCCCAACTTTGAAAAATCCTCCCACCTCCACCGAGGTGGCCGAGCCCCATTCAGATTCCAGGGGGGGCTCATTTTCACACGTCGATAGTGATCCAGCAGTGGTACACTTGGCTGCAGGATCTTCCCAAGCCACAAGTGCACAGGAGAATATTACCCAAGGCAGGTAATAAAGCTCATACTGCATCATCATCGAGCTCGCGGCATGCTATCCGAACTCAAGAAGCTGAGTGGAACAATATCTCAACCAAACCGGCGACATGGAAGGGTGTGAAAAGGAACATTTCACCCCAGGAGGCAGCCCAACTTTGAAAAATCCTCCCACGTCCACCGAGGTGGCCGAGCCCCATTCAGATTCCAGGGGGGGGGGCTCATTTTCACACGTCGATAGTGATCCAGCAGTGGTACACTTGGCTGCTGGATCTTCCCAAGCCACAAGTGCACAGAGAATATTACCCAAGGCAGCAAAGGCGCCGGGAGTATCTCCTCTCGACTGGAAAATATGGAGATCGGAGGGACAACCGATGATGACCTCTCCATAGACTCCGACTCCGAAAAGGGGCTGCTCAATCCGGAAGCCGACACAGGCCAAGGGAAAAGCATCAAGAGAAAAAGTCTAACGGCGTTCCAAAAGGCAAAAAAAGTCTACCGGAACGCTCAGACTTTCTTGAAAAAGATGAGTTTGAAGAAGGAGGAAGACTTAACCGAACGGGAAAGAAACCTCATCAAGCTCAACAAGAGAAAAATCTCCAAATTCGAGATTATGGATCCCTCCCCTTATGGATCCCTCCTCCAGTCCCGGAAAAGGATGAGACAACGATGAAGATCTTGGCGAGACAAAATAAGAGCCTATGGACACAGGACTGGAGAGTAGTCTCGTCAGTCACCAATCCAAACGGAAAAGAAAGGATGAAAAAAAATGAAAAAAATGATGGTGAAAGTGATCGCCATTGACGAGGTATCACTAGATCGCTTGAGGAAATCGGAAGGAAGCATCAAATTTGGTCTCGGGACTCTAAAGGCGAGGCTTCGTGCCATTCTTGTCGTTAGGCAAGAATGGCACCAAGTCAACCAGGGCATCGGGTGATTCAGATTAATCTGAACCACTGTGAAGCCGCGACGGAGGATTTGATGCTGTTCATGAGTGAAAAGAAGGTGGACGTGGCCTTAGTCCAGGAATCATGGATCGCAAGAGACAAAATCCAGGGAGGTCAAAAGAATACTTTCTACTTCACCCATAGATTACAATTAAAATGAGAGCGTGTATAGTAACAAGAAGAGCACTAAAGCTTACCTTGCTATCCCATTACAGCACAAACGATGTGAGCGTAGCCACGTGCGAGGACCAAAAGGGGTTCAAACTTCTACTGGTCTCAGCATACATGCCATATGACGAAGAGAATCCCCCGCCGGAAGCGGTCCGAAATCTGGTTCGAGAAGCCAGAAGAATGAGCCAACAGCTGGTGATAGGATGTGACTCCAACGGCCATCACATCCAATGGGGAAGCAAGGATATCAAAGAAAGAGGTGAATCGATAATGGATTTTATACTTTCTAATAACCTTACTATATGCAACAGAGACAACTTGCCAACGTTTGCAAATAAAATTAGGCAGGAAGTTTTAGATCTAACCTTGACCACGGAGGGACGGCGTTTGATAGTCGAGGATTGGAGGGTTGATCTGGAGAGATCCTTCTCCGACCATAGGAGAATACTCTTTAGAATAGAAGTCCCGCTTGTTAACCCTATAAAAAACGTCGAAAGACGGACTGGAGTAAATATGAGAAACTCGTGAATAGGTATTCTAGCGAAGGGGAACTAACCCATATCCGGAGAAACCGAATCGCGACTATATAGACAGTACGGTTGAGAAATTAGGAGAAGTGCTTGTTAGAGCTTTTAAAAATTCATGCCCTGTTAGCCGACCCCGTAAAAACATCAAACCGTGGTGGAACGCAGAGTTACGGCAGACTAGGACAGGAATAAAGAAGCTATACAATAAAGCACAAAAGAAGAAAACGGAAGAAAGTTGGGACGTTTATAGAAAGTGTTTCAACGAATATAAAAAGAAAATAAGAGAGGCTAAATGGGTATCGGTAAAGGAATTCAGTGAGTCCATCACGGACACCAACGAAGCAGCCAGACTGAGGCAGGTATTGTCCAAAGAACCGATGGTACCAAGCAACATCAGGAGACCAGACAATTCGTAGACTGAATCCAACGCCGAGACCCTCAATCTTCTAATGGAGACCCACTTCCCAGGCTGCAAGGACCCTGAACCAAACGAAATCGATCGGCAAGAGTCGAGAGATGACAATGGATCAGGGGACGAAGCAGAGAAGAGGAAGAAGATCAGCAGGACCATCACAGAGGAGAGGGTAGCATGGGCAATTCGTTCATTTAGCCCATACAAGTCGGCAGGAGTGGACGAAATAACACCAATCACGCTGCAGAAAGCTCCAAGGAGCATCCATACCCTACTAACCAGGATTCCGGGAATGCTTATATTTGGGGCATATTCCAAAGAAGTGGAGAGAGGTAAAAGTGGTCTTCATACCCAAGGCGGGTAAACCAAGCCATCCTTTACCTAAGGACTTCAGACCTATTAGCCTATCATCGTTTTTACTGAAAACACTAGGGAGGCTGATAGATCTACATATTAAGGAGACTACAGATATTGAGAAGCAATGTGCTGCGAAACACGCATACCTTAAAGGTAAGTCAGTCGAAAGTGCTCTGCATTCGGTAGTAGGTACAAAGGAAAGTGCTTGAAGGAAAAGTGCCTCATGGATAAGGAATACACATTAGTGGCTTTCTTAGACATAGAGGGTGCTTTCAATAATGTAAAGACAGAGGCGATCAAAAAAGCCATGGAGGAACTAAAGGTAGAGCAATTAACCATCAACTGGGTGTTAGAAATGATAGAGAACAGGACTATCACATCGGAGATGGGAAACAGCTCAGCCAAAAAGTGTGCAACACACACACAAGAGTGTGTATTATCACCTCTGCTGTGGCTGATTGTAATGAACCCGATCCTGACCTCTCTGACAATGAAGGGAATTAGGATAAGGGAATTAGGATAAAGGCATATGCAGACGACGTGGTAATATTGATCGTTGGCAAAGACTTGCAGACGCTCAGTGACATCATGGAATCTGCTCTGAAGAAGCTATCGGAATGAGCAAAAAGGAATGGTTTGGGCATCAACCCAGACAAAACCGAACTCATTCTGTTTACAAGAAAATACAAGATACCCAAGTTCACGCTACCGTGCTGGCTAAGTGGAAGGGAAGACACTTGGGCTTGCTAAGGAGACAAAATATTTAGGAATCGTTCTGGACTCGAAGCTTTCCTAGAAAAGGAACACGGAGAAAAGGATGATAAAGGGAATAAATGCATTCTATGCATGAAAAAACTATTTGGAAACAGATGGGGTCTGCAACCGTACATTATACACTGGATGTACACTGGTATAGTTAGACCAATCATCGCTTATGGAGCACTAGTATGGTGGGAAGCGGTGCTTAAAGAGACTAATAGAAAAACCACAGCCTCACAAAAGTACAGCAATTAGCAGCTCTAGGTACAACTGGAGCAGGGAACAACACAGCGCAAGCTGCGCTAGAAGCAGTTCTGGACTTGCAATCAATCGACTGGCTCGTGAAGGATCTGGCCGCTAAGGGTGCCCTAAGATTAAGGAAATCCAATCTGTGGAAACAGACCAACTACGGTCACTCGAGGATATTGCCAGTGATAGGGAAAATCATGGTGAACATGAGTCCACATCTGCTAGACCAGAAAACGGACTATATGCTCACCAAACATGATTTTGGGGAAAAGATAAGGATTCGCATCCCGACAAGAGAAGAATGGAAGAGCAACCGAGTAATGAACACTCAAGAGATAGCAGTCTACACAGATGCTTCCGCAAATTCAGGGGGCACAAATATAGGCATCTTCTCAGAGGAACTAGACATCCGACGATCTTTGAGGCTATCGGATGGCTGTAATGTTCTACAAGCAGAGGTTTACGCCATAAAGGAAGTGGCTAGTTGTATACGAGAGAAAATTGTTGATAGACCAATAGGGGATATAGTGATATACTCTGACAGTTTGGCCGCTTTAAGAAGTATCACCTTGCAATCAGTGAGATCGAAAACTGTGATGGAATGCCGAGAAGCACTATCTTGGCTGCGTTGGGGCGGGGCTACTCTGTGCTGGGTGCCAGGCCACAGCAATGTGGTGGGCAATCAGGAAGCAGACAGACTTGCCAAAGACGGGGCCAGGGGAGAGGCCGTGACAGATGACTCACCACTTGTGACGATCAACACACTAAAGGAAGCTATAGGAACTGCCATCAAAGCCAAGTGGCAAGAGACATGGCAACACCGTGAGGACTACGCTACAGCCAGGGTTGTTAAGTAGTTTATGAAGCAAAAAACTACGCCAAAAACTACGCGTAGTTTTTTGTATTAACTACGTTTAAAATTTTAAAAACTACCTTCAAAAACTACACAAAAACTACGTTAAAAACTACCTACAAAAATATAGTAAAACATAAACAATTTAGACTTTAAACAAACATCAAGCCAAATTCTTATCATGGAAGTATGAAGTTATATTATATTTGTATAAGTTAAACAACATCAGAAAAAAAGACAATTTTCTTTACAACAAAAGTGTATTTTCTACATTGAACACAAAATAAACTATAAATTCTTATGGAGAAATTCTCCATAGAGATTTTTCAGGAGAATATATGATTTTTTACATCTAAAGGCACAACTTCATAATTCCCCTCTCCCGGAAGGTATGGAGCAAGGTATGGAGACATCGACGTCTTCCAAGCATTTTTAACTACTAAGTATCAAAAATATCACATAATAAGGAACAAATTCATAAAATATAGATTTTTTATTTCTTTAAATTGATCAACAAACAAAATTTTTAGGTTATGTTTTCACTGTTATTTAAAAAAACTACATTAGTTACATAAACTACACATTTACTACTCGACATTTAAAAAACTACTTGTGACATGTAGTAAATGTAGTTTATTAATTACTACGTGTAATTTAACAACTCTGGCTACAGCTCGAAGACTATGGCAGTGGTAGATAGCAAAAAGACAAAACAACTACTAAAGTATATTCAACCCCGAGCTGCACCAAACGTAAACAGAGACATGAGGCAAGCACGTGAACAGGAACGCTGTAGTAATATAACCAGGGCCGCACTAAGATCGGGTATTTCAAATTATAAAATTATTATGTATATTTTTATGATTTTTTTTATTGTTTATGATTTATGATGGAAATTTATATTATTTAATTGTTATCAAACTACATAAAACTAGTGAAATAAAGTGATGGGTAGGGGTAGGGGGCGGGCATATTAAAATATTACATTACTCTTTTGCACGACCGATTTTAACAAATTTAGTGTTTTTTAAAAGGGATTAATTTGTTCTTTAAAATAATTATCTTTTTATTTGGTACTACTGATTTTTTTATTTCCATTATTGACAGCAATATCTGAATATCGGTTTAAATAGGTATTTGTATTATAATACTATTTGCAAAAAATGCAATGATGTAAACATTTTTTACATTTAGACCAGTTAAATTATAACATAATTTAATACATTTTAGTTTACTAAAAAAAACACTTTTAACTTGCTGTATTATCCGTTTTAAAGTCTAACGACATTTTTTTTTAAAAAGCCGGATGTATTAAAACTATTCAAATAAAAACTTTTTTAATTATTTTCAAACATTTTATTAACATTAGATTTATAAAATTTATAATTTTATTAACATTTACAAAAATATAAATATAATAATAAATAAATAAATAATATAAAATATCTAACTTTTGAGTTTTTGTAATACGTATGTACTTATATGTACAAATATTTTATTTAAACATAAATATTATTTTCTCTAATTGTAACTTGTACGAAGCGATAAACAAATATTGAAATAATAGAAAAAATATAATAATAAACAAGAACAAATAAATAACAGACCGCGAAAGGCAACAAAAAACGATTTTAAATAATAATATAATAAAAAAATAAATAGTCCTCTAAAATAATAAATTCGGACAAGCAATATAATCTCAATATTCCGCACGCGGTGGCCTATCAAAGAGTATTCCTTATACGCGCTATGCAAGCCGACCCTGTAAAAAATCTCAACCGCCTACCTCAACTATTTCATGGCTGGCCGGCCAATCAGGGTAGATTTCGCCGCTGGCACGTGCTGATCACGCACTGTGCATTTGTGTATACTGGTGCATTTCGAATTTGAATTCGGTATAGAGCACAAAAAGAACCTAGTACGCATAATTGTAGATGTCGTCACTGGAAACTGTCTCACGGGGGTAAACCTCGTGAGATGGAAAGTTTCCGACGACGACTACTGCAGAGAATGCGGAGAGGAAGAAGAAACCATAGAGCACCTGCTGTGCCACTGTCCGGCACTAAAATACCGACGCTTTAAAACTTTAGGGCAAGGCCTCCGAGTGAGGGATTAAATATGGTTGCAAGCCCCAGCAACCTAACCTAATCTGACAACTGTCTAAACAAATGAATCGTTAACCGCGCATACTCCTCGAAAAGTAAAAATGAAAAAATAAATTAAACGTTTAACTGTAGAGACACACATATGTTTAAAATTAAAAAACATGCCAGGAGTTACAAACAAGAATTAAAGAAATACCAAATAAAATATCTATTGAACAATATAAAGAGGCTACGTACTACGTACAAATTATGTCTATCAATGGACGTAACAAATTTTGTTAATATTCAAATTGCACAAATTAACAAATCAGCTAAAGGCAGAAGAGTAACTGATGAATTTAAATATAAATGTTTGGCGATATACCTTTCCGGGCCAAAAATGTAACCTAATAAGTGTCTGCAAGGTGCATGCGAAAACTCCTTGTGTTGTGACGTCATTGTAGCCCTTGTCATTCCCAAGCAGCATTTGGATGTCGGGACAACGTTGTGTCACGCGACCAAACGTCGGGGCGCAACGTCGGCACAACCTCGTGCCAACCCTAGTCTGCACTAGTTTGGAGAATAATTTTTGGGTCGAAACGACGTTGAATACCGACGTTGGCTAGCAGCCTAATTTAGTACAAACTGCAACGTTGTTTAAAATCCTAATTCACAGAAATACAAAACTAATATGGCGTAAAT